AGGACGAAGACGACGACGACGACGACGACGACGACGACGACGATGACGACGACGACGACGGCGACGACGACGGGGATAGCGGCAGCGACGATAACGACGACGAGAATCTTCCAGAACCTCCACCGCCTCCGAAAGCTCCAGCACCCAACGTCAGCCTGTCCTGTCCAGGAATCCTCAGGCAACCTGGCACACCCGGTAGCGCCAAGAAACGTGTTCAGATCCAAGAAATTTCCGTATGAGGAGAGTACCTTCTTGCAATCTCTTTTTGCCGAAAACTCGTTCACCGGCCCATTCCGACCATTCGTAGTAAACCCGTCGAGCGATCCTCGATCGTCGCTACTGCTGGCGGTAGTCGACCAACAGCTTCGACCAAGAAGAAATTCAGCGTTTCGAGCGTTCCAAGCCAAAGTCCGTTGTTGCAACGCGCCATAACTTTCAGACGTTGCATATTCGGCTCTGTCGGGAGTTTCTTCGCGCTTAAGAATTTGAGATTCTGCATAGGCCTACGACGTTCGGGAGACATCGTGCGCGTTCGAAGGTTGCAAGAGGATTGGCAGTTTCAAGCGCGTGCTTTCGAAAGAGAAAAGTCGGCGTTTACGGTTTTACGTCGCGCTCGAGAGAATATTCGTAGCCGAAGATCGACGCCAGTTTCGCATCTATCTTCGAAGAATCGATAAACGGATTAACGAAGACACGTAAGACGGCAAATAAAAGCACAAATCGATGGCCTTAAAAGAATTCGATACTCGAAGCGATATAATAGACGCGACGGGAAGCAACGTCAAAGTCGAATCAGGCAACCCACGTTCCTACGAGATTCGACGGGGAGATATTTTCCAATATTTCTCACAACTCGACGAAAAGCGGAGAAAAGGAGGAAGCAACGGAACGGACAAGCGATAACGACGTATAAACAACAACGGAGGACAACGCAGCGTCCGCCACTGGAGAGAATTTTTGGCAACGATTTTATTGGTTGTTGACCGCGTGAATATATTTCGTACGTTCAAATTTATCATAGATCCATCGAATTTAAATTTAAACGGTGCTCGATTTGCTTGACCGAGTTTGTTCGAGCACGAGCGATATCGAGAAGTCGTCAAGTTTTACGATATCCTTCCTTCAGGCAGGAAAACAGAAGGAGAAAGGAGACGCAGGATTTTTTTAAAGATCTCGCACAAAAAGCATCGACTCTTTGTCTTCCTCCTTCGAAAGCTATACAAGGTGGACGGTGAAGAATCAGAGAGAAGTTGGATAGAAAAAAAACGAGGAACGACGGATGGATATCGACAGAGTCGGCGTCGAGCAGAAGTTGAACCGTCGCCGAGAGTCGTCGCGACGCTCGACACTGTGAAACGAGGGGATTGATATAATCTCAGGAACCCAAAAGACAAGGCGCGCGCCGAGGGAGTCCAGCAGGATACCTCGGGCTTCCTTCATCCGGATTTGTCGGAGCACTAAGTGGAATTATTCGAGGAATTGGAAGGTCTGACCTCGGCTTTCCGGATCTCGTTTTCTTTTTCGGTCGAGAGCAGGAAGTCGTACGGGAGGAAATGGACCTGATCAAGCGAAACTCTGCAGGTTCGCCACGAAAGGAGCCTGCTAGCTAACGAATTGATGAATCTGAAGTTCTCGTCAGTGTAATCGCGAGTGTTCTTAGTTACATACGTGTAAAAGGGAGCGAGAAAAGGAGAGAGATAGACAGATAGATAGATAGATAGATAGATAGAGCGAGTGAGAGAGAGAGAGAGAGAGAGAGAGAGAGCGAGAAAGAGCGAGAGTGAGAGAGTGAGAGACAAGAGGAAAAATCGTAGTGCGAGTGTCAGAGTGACAGAGGATGAGAATGAAACGAATAACAGTTGGTGAAGTAGGAAATATAAATTGTATATTATATTCGATGCCAGGGAATATGATTGGAACGTTGGAAGAAAAAAGTGGATTCATCCTGAGCGTATGTTTTCGTTTCTCCTTGGAGCGTGCCGACAGGGACGGTTCCCGTCGAATTTCGGATTGTTTGGATGAAATTTTGCTTTCTGCCTCGTTCCATATTTATTTTCTCATCTCCTAGTATGTACGTACATGCGTTTCAAGTATATTCGTTTGTAACTTAATTTCGAACGTACGATCCAACTATGCGTTTGATCTATTTTTCTTTATAAGAAAATTGCTGTTACAAAATGATTCTTACTACGTTCGAAGATACGCTAACAGTTGCCCTGTTTTCCGACATCCGACTATTTATTTGATAAGGAAACGTATCTCGCGATAAACTTGGCTGGTATTATCGAACGTTTAATTTATTCTGTATAAACGGTATGAATATTCTTCTCGAAATAAATGATATCGGTTGACGTTGATATAGACGCAAACCGTAAGGACTTTCATCGTCGATGAAGCTGCCGATCGTTAATTTTGAGAATGTCGCGTTCTCTTTCAAGCGTTGACAAATGCCGGTGTTTACGAGCGACGTTCCTCGCTGTTCCTCGTTCCCTCCGACAAATTAGCCTTGATTAAGTTTCGCCGAATAGTGGAACGAGGTTAGCCGTTTGTCAAGTTGATAACAAAAACGTTCAGCACCTGATTTACGCGAAATCTATTCATTTTAAATTAAACGTTTCGTGTCAAAGTATTTACAGCGTTTAAGAATTGTAACGATCGAGAGATTAGATGGTAATGCACGATATGGCATTTACCTCTTTGAGCGAAGAAACGTGTAAGTTAAGATACCCGACGCGAAAGTTTCTATTCGATATCAAGTAGTAGTAACAGACAACGATAGTCAGACGCGAAAGTAGCCACACAATGAGACTTTAACATTACGAAATGGATGAAATGCGTCTTTCCTAGAATATCTACAATTACGTTTAACAAATTTGAATATCCTACTTGTTATAAGCAAATTGTTTCGATTACAGTTAAAGTTTATGATATTAAAAAATTTTCAGCTAAAATTAGACTTTGATCGTTTTCGCGAGGCGAAATAGAAATTAAAACAACCGAGGTTAGTTTTCCTTCCGTTACGATAAGCAACTTTTTAATTATTTCGTTTCCTTCTTCACGGTTGTTTGAAAGTTATTCTTGCTTTTTAAAGCATTTCCCGAGAAACGCAAACGGAAAATTCAAATCAAAGACCGCCACCTCTAACCAACTCAACCTAAACTCAAACCACTAGCTCCTTCCTCTCGATTCGTCGTTCTATCAACGCACCTACCTCCGGCAAATTTTCTATTACACCTTTTTCCTAATATCCCTCTAAGAAACATTTTTCGTTATCCGTTTTACTTTTCTTTCTTTTTCTTTCTTTTTACTTTTTTTTTTGTATCGGGGATAGAGGCAACTGCGATCGAGAAACGCGAAGCTAACGATCGATACCGGAAACAAGAGGCAGTCGGATCGCGATAACGAAGGAGAAACGAGTCGTTGCGAGCTTTCGTGCGAGTTTGGAACGTAACGAAAGAGCGAAAAAAGAAAAAAAGAAAAAAACTGGAAGAGAGGGGAAAAAAGGAGACCGCGTGTGGGGCCAGCCGTAAGTAAAATCTAACTACTAATTTAGTTTAGGCGAACAACGCCCGCCGTCGTGAAAAATTTCGTGTATCTTTGCGCCCGGGAAAAATTGTCGATCTCATCGGAACGACTTTTCGAGCCTCGACGTGGTTTGAATTTTGAACGAAAGAAACGAAGGAAAATTGCGAAACAAATTTTGCGTGGTCGTGCGTGTGCGTGTGTGTGCTTGCGAGAAGCAGAGAGAAAGAAGTTGGAATGTCCTGTCGTTGAAAAACTTTCGTCGATGAATCGACGGATCCTCGATTTCGATCATATGTTCGCGCGTTTCTTCCTCGACGATCCTTTCGAACGATGGTCGATGTTCGTTGAAACGTACCTCTGAATTTTCAGAAAGTTTCCAGAAAGGGATCCGGGATTCTCGATGAATTAACGCGCGAAACACCGATGTCTTCAGCGTCATTTACATACAGAATCGTACGCGTGTACGCGTGCATACACACGCACACGTACACGATTATCAATGTTTGGAATGTTGGGATTTGTTTAAATAAATACTTAAAGCATTTAAAACGTAAGCATGGTTGGTACTTTGACTAAAATTCTTGATACGCGCGATCTTTCCCCGTTGTCTTCGTTTTATGAGTCACGTTACTCGTATTTTACTTGTATTAATTTACGTTTGCGTTCCGCATTACGATGATTTGACGTGCTACGGATACGAACGACAATTTCGTCCACTTTTTTTTTATTAATCTTATCTTTTATTTATTTTATATTTGTCGGATTTAGTTTATCCATTTTACATAATTTCATGTCGTTTTTGTGCCCTAATTGTAGACATTCGTAGATCGATCGAAACTCTTCCTAGCCAGCACGCGTGACCACGTCGCATCGTTTGCTGCTGATCCGAATAGGTAAGTGCTAATCTCGTTTTATAATATCGTTATTTTACGTGGAAATTAAGCATTTGGCTGCAACGAACATTTCAAATATCTATGCAAAGGTTAAGCAACGTTTCTCATCGATCTTGCAAATTTTGCTCGATAAATCGTTCGTTGTCTTTGTTAAATAAGACTTTGTTAAAGCGATGCACTATGCAACACAAGTAAAAGTTAAAAGCAAAGGTAAAAGTTTGAAGCTCTTACAATATAGGGAAAAACGCCACGTTGTTGCCACGTTTAAAGAAATGTACTTACGAGTATATGTAAATAATAGAATCGTTCTTTCGTTACGTACGAATATCTTCCTCTATCGCAATCACCAAGTTCCTTCAAATTTCTTTAAGATCCATTGGTTGTAGCGTTTCTCAGAAACCTTGAACGGATTATTTTTCTCATACGCAAACGCGTACGGTAGAAAATTTCTTTAATTAATTACGTTTAATCGATTAACGCAATTACCTTCGTCAAGAGTCTATTAGCTATTACCAGTTTGGTGGGATCGAGCTAAAGCTCTCCTTCGAATCAACGGTTAACCTCTCGGAATCCACGAGTGGGTATAAATTCTGTTTGCCATTACTTGGAAACTCCTCTTACTTGCCGCATCGTCACATTGCCGCCGTTCATTTTCGACAAGGACTTTCAGCTATGCGTTACGCTTTCGGCTACAAGTTCATGCAGCAAACGTTGATTTCCTTTTAACATCGTAAAGCATACTGCGCGATATTCGGAATACGAATTAAAACGTAGTTCAATGACGAAAACCTCATAGAGAATTTGACAAAATTCACTTTACCTGTATCTCTAAACCGGTTTACTTCCATTTGCGAGGAAATCGAACCGTTTCTTTGAATTCTTCGCTAAACCATAGCGCCACAACGAAAATCGTAACGAACCCTATCTTGAAAACCATTTGGAATCTCCGTTCTTCATTTTTCTTGCGGCCAATTAGCTTACTCCGATCTCGACCTACGATTCAACGAACTACTTTCAACCTGAACGAACTGAATTCCACCCTAGAGAAAGAAAGGAAGAAAGAAGGAAGGAAGGAAGGAAGAAAAGGAGGAAAGAAAGAAAGAAAGAAAGAAAGAAAGAAAGAAATGAAAAAGACGAAACAACAGGCGGTAAAAATGAGAATAAACGGTAACTGCGAAAATAAATTCCAAGAGTCTGACTGCTTTGAGCTCAAACAAGCTGCAAAAAAAAAAAAGAGAAAAAATACAGCTCAGAGAAGAGATAACAAACGGAATCCAAGGGAGAGGCAGGTCGAAAAACACGGGGCGTCTCGCGTGAAAGGTGCGCGAAAGGAGAGGTGGCAGAGAGGACAGACGTCCTCTTTCTCCTACACCTCGTTCTCGTCTTCGTTCTTCTCTCCCGAGGCGGTGCTCCGTTTCCTCGCGAAGCGCCCGGGTTCGTTTCGATCACGGTGCAAGCAGGCCGTTCCTCCTTGAGGATCCTCTCGCCACCGTCGGCGA